ATCATATAAAATCGCATCCAATTCTTATAATTCTTATATATAAAATCTTATGAAAATTCATATGAAAATCCATCAAAATCTAGGATATCAAGGGAATCCTTATTTCCTTTAGATTTTCTATTTTAATCTCCCTCATAATGATCTCAAAAATCATTCTAATTCATTATGATTCCGGATTATGATTGATTATTAGAGGAGGTTTTATTAATATAGCGAAGAAATTAAGAACGATTAATTAATTTATAGATTCTGAAACATATTTCAATCCCTCACGATTTTATGAAACCTATCGAATCATCATATATGAAATCAGATAGATTCAGAGAAGAGAGAGAGAAAACGAAAAATTTCGAGATCTCGAGAGATTTACGATCGCACGACCGCCTCTTTCAGCCCAATCTATCTTCTTCATATTTCTTTCTTACGTCCAGCTCAGAAGAATATATCTATCAATATAGAAATACGATTATGAATATATTCAAAATTTGAAAATATATTCTTATGCGTAAAAGAGATTTTTCTATCGATTCTCTTCTATAAAATGATATCCAATCCTTAATCAATCGGATTTAGATAAGAAATTAAAAATATATTCTCAAATGCTAGTTATATATCATTTCTCTATCTTAAATCTATATATTAAATATATCAAAAAGAGATAAATCAGGTAGAAAATGACTCCGAAAATCAATTTAAAAATTGAAAATCCCCGCCTCGAATCTCTATATTCCCACTAGCCGCCGTGTAGATAACCAAAGAAAGATATTCGAAATCTCGTGAGATTTTCAGTCACCCAATCCCCTAACCGACCAGGTCTCTCGGCTTCATTTATTTCGTTTAGACTATCTACGTGGTGGATTAGGCCAAATTCTCATAGATAGATACGGCCAATCTTTATATTCTGAATAATTTGCTTCTCCGTCTAGCTCTCTACGTTCCGCCGAGCGTATCGCCAAATAACCAAAGAGAGATAAATCCCACGAAAGATTCATCCAGAAGCAAGCTGAAAGATTTTAGCTTTCCGGGATTTTGGCTAGCGCCGCCCGAACCAAAAATCTCTTTTGCGAAGAGCTCTGAAATCTCCGAGATTTGAAAGTTCCCAAGGAAATCGCAAGAAGCGTTTTAATAATGAATCAGAAAAACTAGGCCGCCCATGAAATGACCGCAAGCGGCCGCGCCATATTACCCCCGAGACGAAAATTTCATGATACGGAAGACTTTTCCCTAGCTTGCAACTCCGCGGAGAAGCAGAGAGAGTAGAAATATCATTTTATCATATTATAAAGTTTTCGGCTATTAGGAGTCGAACGGCAGTCAATCATCATCCGTTCGACGAATTTTTGTCCTATCCTAACGGGCATTCCGGGTCTTCCAATACCACATAAAATATCGTAAATAGGCATTCCGAGGTTTCCAGTCCCGCTCAAAGCAATAATAAGAATTCGTGCTCGCCAGCCGAGACGAAAAATTCAGCATGCGGAGGATTTTCCCCTAGCCTATAATATCGTAAGAAGCGGGGAGTGCAGAAGTATCATTTTTTATAGCCAGCGTGCCAGAATAGTTAATTTCCGGAAATACATAATATTATGATAGAATTCCCCGCGGATAGCCTAGGCAAAGAGTCTAAAGGGAAGAGGGGTTGCCATCGCCGATAATATGATAATTAACGTCCGTCTAGCGAACTTTTATCCTACCGCAGTATTGAGGTATAAAAAAATAATTCCAGAGTCCGTATTTCTTCTTCAATATTTCTCGAATGTCAGAATGATGACGTTATTGATCAGACATTCGATATCGTCTCAGGCTCTTGATATTTTTCTAATCATTCATTATTCGTTGGCATCCGGCCCATATAGATCAGCCAGTCTAAAATGAAGCCCAAAAGGTGGTTCTATTCATCGCAATATTCCGCAAATGATTTTTTTTGAATCCAAGTTCCGTCAGCGGTAGACGTCGTCTGCCTGCGGGCCAGGGCAGGGGACCAAGACAGAATCAAGGAATTTTATATAATAAGTATGGGGAGGCAACATTGCAAGAAATCCCAGCCGGATATCCATTTACGTTTATTTCAACGCCTTTGTTCTTGCTTTTGCTTTGAAAGGCGGATATGGCCAGCAAATGGACTTGCTTCTGCACTTCCTTTAACCAAGCTTACATATAGCTACAACATGCTACAACCTGAGTGTAAACAAGGAGGTCTTGAGATTCAGCTCTGGGCCTGCAACACATGCTTGAAGGTGGATCATAGATAGGTGCTACTGGCCCTTATACGGTCCCAAAAACCCAGGGTCCAACTTAAGGGTCCAACCAAAAATCCTTGAAGGAAAGAAGACCTCCTCGCTGCGAAGCCCGATGCCCTAAGCTGGCAGCCTCAGGATCCTGATGAGAACCTCCCCTCCCCTGATAATAACAATATAGGGATAGAGGTACATGGGGGCATGAGGGTATATATGGTAATTCTCCAAAATAGGGGGACCCCAATATAGACCCCAATATAGTATAGTCCTTATTATGGGAACCCTCAAAATGGTACCCCTTATTTTGGGAAATCCCCATATGGGGATGCGTAGGGTTTTGGGGCTACTGGGGATGGTTCCCTCAGAGTCGTGTGAACCATACTGAAGCAGGCCTGCTTTGGCGAGCCTCAAGGTTCAACGCCCAACACTTAAGCTCTAAGCCACAAACAAAATGCCCGTAAACTCCTAAAAGCCTGAGCCCCAAACCCTGCAAATCACAGAGCTCCAAAACAACAATTCCCTGAACCCTCAAAGCCTGAAACCCTAAACCCATCAAACCCTGAACTCCTCAATCCCTTGCCGCAGCCTCAGGCGCGGAGGGCGTGAAGGCCATGTAGTCCGCGGTAGCTCGGCGCAAATATTCCCTGCGCGCTTCCTGTGCAGGAACAAATTAAGGGTACCCTTTCGGGGGGTTTAGGGTTTACGGTTTAGGGTCCCCATGATAAGGATCATAGTATTTTGGAATTCATATTGGGTCCTCCTATTTGGGGAATAGGCTTTCCAAATCCTTCTTGGTGGGTCCCCCTGGTTACAGTTATAGCTTATTGAAATCTCTTGGGGTGCCGCTGTTCCTCGAACCTACCACAACGAATTACAGAAGTCATGAAGGTTGTGGGGTTTCAGTGAAGGGTTTGTTTGGCTTTTTGGTCCCAAACATGTCACTTACAGGATGGGCTAACGACTTAAAAGGTCTTAATGACCTACCCTACCGAGTCGAGGGCGGAGCATTCGTGGAATTCTTGCGCTGTTGCGGGCTCCCCTAGACCCAAATTAATGGCCCCAGCTAGCAACAGAAACAAGCCCTTCTCAGCATGAGGTGGTCTTCAGTGCAGCCCTTAGTCAGGCTTCTTTATCATGCAGGGCCCAAGCTTTAAGAGCTCCAAAGATTTGGGACGGTATCCGTTTTCCTTCTATTGGGGAATCCCCATTGTGTGGTGAAGGAGCGGACACTAACTTTTAACAACACACAGCAGGCTTGATGGGCTTGATGGCAGGATACGATTTTTGCAACAGTTGGCTGCACGATTCCGCCCTCCATTGGGGAAACCTTCCAAGCAATGCGAACGCCTCTGTCTCCAGCTGGGTCCACTCGGACCTGCTTGTTCGATTTTGGGTATAGGGCTTTGGGAGGATGCAGGTACAGAGCTCAGGGTTGGCTTGAAGTGTCGTATATATATATATATATAGATCACCCAGAAAGCACAGCATTCAGGAGATCCTAAACGGTGACCGGTGTAGGATATCCGCCGTCCAGGCATCTTGGCGGCCGGCAGCCAGATGATGCAGGGCCGATAGCCCATGGTCTGTACGTGGCGAAGCTTCTGAACCTCAGCAGTGAACTCATCATCAAGATCCATTGTAGAAAGCACCACTTTGTAGCGAAGTACTGAATATCCTTTGCCTAGGTCTTCATGCTGCAGAGCTGCCACTTTCTGAAAATCGCGGGCCCCTACGTACCTCAAGAATAACGTATGGCTGCGCACGTTATTTAAGCGGCCTCGAAAACGGAAGTATCATATTTGCAGACTACCAAAGCTCTTCAGCTGAGGCTGGAGCTGCCCCACGAAACATGAAGCGGAACCTTCGATGGACTTGGCGCAGGTTCATGGGGAGGGAAGTCGAATTGTGGTGATGGTCATGGTGATGATGCTGATGACGACGATGATGCGCACGATGTCTTTTTGCTAGTCGTCAAAACTAGCACTGCAGCAGCCGCTGCCGCCGCAGCGCCTGCGAAGTGACAGTTAATACATATGCCCCTTGCATCCGTCTCTCCCTCCGTGCTGGTCAGCCGTAAATTTCAGTAAAGCCCCTCATATGTCTCTTCTCAGGCGACCGCTCTTGGCACCGATTGAGGGTGGCAAGGTCCTGCCAGCAGAACAGACGAGCTGCTGCAGGGTTTAGGGCTGTCTTCCTAAACCTATCCTAATCAGCGAGGTTCCTATGAATTCTTTCTGCAGCTCCTAGTTCTAGCAGGCTAGCCAGTTCATAGGGCTTCAAAACTGCATTTCAAGGACAAGAAACAGAAATCCTCCCTTCGGGGAATCGAACTACTGTCTGAGGGTATACCATGGCTAGGAATCAAACTAGGTGCCTATGGTTCCAACATCAGATGCAAACTTTTGTGCGACTCTCTTTGGTTTAGCTGCACTTTCAGAAGTGTCCCGGGAGATCTTGGGGCGCACCAGGCTTGCCGGAAGGCCCCGAATCTCATTAGCCCGCTCAGCTCAGCTGAGCGGATTTACATGCCAGTGCACTTTAGAGATGCGGGAAAAAAAAGAAATGCTCACCCGACTAACTCGGATGGATTGAAGCAGCTCGAGTTCCGTGATGTTCCCAGAGCTTGCGTAGGTCAAACACCTATCACTAGTTGCAACAGCTTCTCTTAGGCAGGAGGGAGGGCGCCAAAAGGATGACCCTATTCCTTCCGCATGAAGCAGTGCTCAAGAGTGGGAACGAGCCTGCCAGCAGCAGGCTCAGAATTTATCTGGTCGCAGGCGGCGAAACAGCGAGGGGGTACTGCACGATGGATGACCACTCCTTGGCGACCAGCTCGCGGGAGCCCTTTGGCTTCACATCGTCGGCGAGGCCCAGGGCAATCATCTCCTGGCAAGTCCGGTCCATGGTTTGGGCCAGGATCGTGCAGCACTTGGTGTCCACATGCCACCCATGCACGGTAACGGGGGAGCACACCTCATTGTTGACAGATGAACCCGTCGTGGACCCAACGTACCGAACCCCTTGACTCAAAGGAGGCTGACGCCACTGCTGAATGAAGTTCTGATAGTCCGCCTCAATCTCAGCCGCCGTCAAGCTCTCGTCGTTGATAACTCGGCAGGCCTGTCCACGGACGACGATTTGCGGAGTGATGGTGCGGTTGAAGACCTGCCCCAAACCGGGCCAAAGCTTGAAGGTGTCGGAGAGTGGGCCACCGGAGGAATACACCCAATGGAACTCGTAGGTGTACCCCACAAAGGCATCCACACAGTGCTGGAAATTGAACGCGTTCAGCTTGTCCTCGAAGCCCTTCACGTCGCAGAAGAAGCCCGGCTGCGTCGAGGAGGGCTGCGGCTGAGCCGGGATGACTGACTGAATCTCCGCGTCGCGGGCGGTAGGTCCTCCCGGAGTGATGTCATACTCGCCCAGGCTGTAGTGCTCCGCACCAAGGTGCCAATGAAGGTTTACCTGGATAAGCTGATTGGGAATGTTACCATCCAGGGGAATAAACCGTGTCGGACGATCGCCCACGAAGCCGGGAGTCACGTTCTTCGGAGCCTGGGGCTCCGCGTCCTGGCACAGCAGCGGCGATTGCCGTCCAGTTTGCATCATGGTGGGAGCTCGTGGCTCTGGGTCGGCCTTGGTGGGCCTTGCCCACCCTCCATGCTGGACAGGCTTTTGCTTTTGATGCTGCTTCTGCATGAGCTGCACTTCATCATCCGCAGCACCAGCCTCTGAGCACTCGGTCTTCGACGCAAGTGCAAGGCCCAGAGCAAGGCACACGCCGAGGAATCTCGTGCCGCAGCGCATTGCTCAGAAAGCTGGGATGTTAGAAAACAGGTTCGGTCAGCCTGCTGGGCCCTTTACAAAATGCTTGAGCCAAAATCAGGTCCCCTTCTTGTACAAGGATGCCCAGATTCTGGAGAAGCTGGTGAAGTCCAGACCCTGATGCTAAGAGTATTTGGAATCTATATCCCCCAGGCCCAATAATGGAGACAGCTGGAAGAGAAAGTGGACATGAAATGGAAACTGGGGGTATATAGGGGTTCATAAGGATTGGAGTTTCCGAAAATTTGGGGTACGTCTTGGGCGATCCGCATAATCAGGACTACAGTAAATTGGGTCTATTGGGCTCCCCTTACTTAGAGTAAGTACCATTTGCGGGAAACTGCCCTAAACCCTAGACCCTAGAGCCTGAACCCTAAATCCTAAACCCTGAACCCTAACTAAACCCTAAACCCCTTAGAACCCCAGGTCAGATGGCCTGGCTGGGCTCTGCTTGAGCCGTGATTGGCACGTACCACCGCAACTGCTCCTGCGCAAGGACTGGGCTTAGGGTTCAGGGTTTAGGGTTTCGGGTTTAGGGTTGAGGGTTTAGGGCTTAGGGTTTAGGGTTGAGGGTTGAGGGTTGAGGGTTTAGGGTTCAGGGTGTAGGGTTTAGGATGAGATCCTAGTTAATTAAGGTTAGGTTATGATACACAGGTGTAGGGATTAGATACGAAGTTGATATTGATTATAGTCAACTGGATCTCAAGGCGTGTGCTGGATGGGCATGTCTCATTCACTTACTGGTTGTTAATTAGTCGGGACTAAAGGAACATGAGCCCTGTAGAACCCCTAAATAAGAGATTTCCAAAGATCCCTACTAAGCACCTGTCAGTTGAGGGTTTCCCTTCCAACGACAAAGCCCGTATACCGAAGCCGAAACCTACGTATAGAGCGAAGCTGAGGGCCCTGCTCAGGTGCGCGAGCGAATGTTGCTGTAAGGACCAAGGCCCTTCCCGCTAGGGCTACAGGTTTTAGGGTTTAGGCTTTAGGGTTTAGGGTGGATTTTGGCTCCCAACCCACAAGAAAGGCTGATGCAAGCTACAAGTATTCAAGTGTAGCAACACTAGTGGTAATCAGTAATGCAAATACCAATAGTAAAGAGCGATCATGAGGACAGTATTCGAACAACTGGGATGCTAACAACACTAGCAGATTAGAGCCCTAGGCAATATATAATATGTTGCACTTTGCCAAAAGAGGGCAACCCAGGATAGACCCCAAGGTACTTTAATCCTGAATAATAATGGGACCCGTAAAGGGTACCCTAATTTTGGGACACCCTAAACCCTAAACCCTAAACCCCCCATATGGCCACGGAAAAGACAGGTCGGCCTTGGACTTGATGCAGATCACGGCCAAGGGTGGCGTATCGGACAGGGCTGCCAAGCGCTCCTGGTCGCCAACTTGCTGATTCTTAGCAGGGACTAAAGGAACAAAGGAACATAGGGGTAATATAGGGATAATGAAAAAGAAATGGAAACTATGATGTTATAATGGGGTAGATATTGGGGTTATGATAGGGTATAAGGGAATATGTTATATATGGATTACATACGGGGTCTATTCCCTTATTCCCTATTAAGAACCAATAAGCTCAGTGATCCGATCTTCACGAAGTGAATAATGAAAGGGGATATCGGGGTTTAGGGTTTAGGGCTTAGGGTTTTGGGTTTACGGCTTAGGATTTAGGCGGAGTTGTCATAGGTATAGTCTCTTTTCGGGCACTCTGAATTTTAAGAGCCCTGCAGTGCAATGGGAATCCAAACAAGAAACATAAATCTGACTATCTAGCATATGGGTGGTTGTCAAAATTATGATCCTTTTTTGGGTACTCTATATATTCGGCGCCGTATTATAATAGGGATCCAACAGGGGACCATAATTTTGACAACCACCCATTTGCAGGAATGAAGTGGGCCATGAGTCAAGGGCTCAGCGGTGAACGATTTGAGTCCTGCTGAGAATTGCTGGTAAACTTCGGACCAGGAATAGGGATCTAGCAATCTAACGTTACTTCCGGAATCGGGGCCCCAGCTTTTGCTCCGAAAATGCTGGGGTGTGCTCTGGACGTTCTGGTGGTCAGTAGGGAATAAACGAATGGATCTCTACAGCAGTGGTTGACCATTACTCCCCAACAGTATGTCATAGTTTCTGTTTTCTTTCGTATTCCTTGATTCCTTACCGACCACCCATAGTCTGAAGCCCTGCAGTCCTTGGCATCTGTCGAAACCAGCTCCATGTGGTACACCTGCGCACAACCACATACAGACTTTCGTAGGGTTGGGGCTAATGAAGAGGAAGCTCTCCATCTTTACAGGAAAATTTGAGTACAGGGACTGCACTGAATCCATTCGGCTCTGTGGATTCCTACCTACCCATAGACAAGTGACACTCTATCCTCGTTTCTTATTTCCAGACAAAAAAAGCTCTAAACCCAAACCCTGAACCTAAACCCTAAGCCCCTAAACCCTAAAGCCCGTATTCCTCAAACAACAATCCTCAACCTTGCAGAACTCGCCATCACAGAAACTGTCCTTGAAGGGGTTTGTGAAAGGGCAGTTGTAGCTCCCACTCCACTCCTGCTTGTGGTACTTACTGCCTTGTTTAAGGGTTAGGAAACGAAACAGAAAAAAAAACTGAAAAAGACATGAGTATGAATAGCACGAGCAGCCCCAATGATAACAAGAGTGATCATAGCATGAATTACTGTAGCAGTAAATGACCACAATAATAATAATAATTAGACATAACAGTCCTAGTAATACAATGATAACTGATTGAACCCTAAACCCCTAAACCCTAAAACCCTAAACCCTAAACCCCTAGACCCCTAGACCCCTAAACCCCCACACTCAACCCCTCAACCCTAAATCCCTAAACTCTAAACCGTGAAACCCTAAACCATAAACCCCCACACCCTAAACCCCTAAACCCTGAAAGATTCTGGCCTGGCCCGGCTCGCAGGTGCGAAGGTCCAAGCCCTCTTTCTCTGCAGCTCGCCTGGATTCACGGGTACCGTGCTTGGAAGCCCAATATACGGATATAAGATATAGGGTTGAGGAGGTTTAGGGTTTTAGGTTTCTGGCATCATTCAAGGTTTGGGGGGATTTCGGGTGCAGGGCTCAGGGATCAGGCATAGAGCTTGGGTGTATTGCGCTGTACAGCCAGTGGTCTCCCGTTGCATGTTCTCTACGCGCTACATCCAGGCTGGATGATGCCCATCTCCCGCAACATTGCTTACACTGGCGAAGCCAGTCACAAAAACTACAATAGCTGCTAAAATTGAGCTAGTTTGGAACAAGTTCTAGATACATCGAATTTGGAGGTGAAGTTCTCATCAGTGTGTCCGTTTGTTCTGGGCTGATAGTATTTTCTTTCTAGCCGCTTCATTCCAGGATTCAACTTGCAAGGAGCACACAGGAAACAGCCCCAAGAAGTGGGAAGCATCAGGGACTTCCATAGAATCAGCCCTTCCTGCTTAAAGCGCCTTAGAACCATTGTCACATTTGAACCGCCTTTCTTTTGACAACCTTACCTCATGCGTCTGGGTTTGAGAAGCTGGGAGATCAAGCATGAAGGCTGGATCCATGGACTTCCTTGCCATGATGAATCTCTGACAAGAACTGGCTTTCCTCCCGTGATTTTTCAAAAAATGTGATAGAAACCCAAAAGCGCCTGGCCTCAGCGTCTTGCTAACAGGAGATTGCAGAAACCTGGACGCACGGAAGGCATGAACTCTCTTGCAATCACTGGTGCTTAAAGGTTTCCTCTGGACAAGTACTCGGCTCCAGGTATTAGACGTTTGCCCAGCATGCCACAGGCTCACAGAATGGAACCCCTCCCCCCGCCCCCACCACCCTATACCAAGTCAGCGGTCCTGGATAGCACGGATATTCAAAAAAGTGACACATCATTTGAGAAATATCAACTGGGTGGACCTGGAACTCTGAGGAAAGCAGGAGACCAAATGCATCAGCGCGAGAAAACACCTGGACTGGTGCCCAGACTGTGAAGCACTAAACTTCAACTTCAAATCCCATGCTCGTACAAAGTACAAAGCCATCCGTGGCAGTCTCTTCGAACCAGAGCTGCTGGAGCCCCCCTGCATTCCCAGAATCTCTCCCAGAGCGGACAACAGGCATTATCATGCGCAAGCCTGCAATGCCTCCAGATAGCGCAGAAGACCCCATTCAACGCTTGATTTTCATTCCGCACCCCTTCTTCTCAAGCAACCCAACCATGCATGAGACGTCCATGACGGCGCTCTTGAATTCAAACCCTTGTAATCAAGAAGCCGTATGCACCTTTGTTCAGATTTGATGAAACGAGCCCGCGACGCCCGGTTAACTTTTCAAGCTTCTGTACAAAATAGTAGGAGGAACGTGGCTTTGAGTATCTCTGAGATCTCTGGGCCTAGCACGCTGCAAGCTCCTGGTCCTGCTTTTGATACCACTTCTGCGATGTATGGACCTGAGGCCATCTGAGCAACACTTCTTCACAGGCAGGTCTGAGTGTAAGATGCAAAGCCTATCCTCGATCTAACTGTAGACCAGAGTTCTGCGGGTGTTTTGCAGACTTGCATGCCAAGACCACTTTCCACACGGACAGGCATTGAGGGCGAACTGGCTTGGGGAAGAACAGAGGGTAAGAAACATGAGTCCCCCGCCTGGAAGAAGGTTCTCATACCTCAGCAGGCACACTAGGACTCCAAGGAAGTAGTGCTACCCGAGGGGGAATCGACAGAGTTTGGGGGGCTGTGCTGCTCGCGTAGAGTCAGTCGCAACCAGTTTTTTGTGCAGTTTTACCCAATGTTCCATTTTTGAGCAGCTGTGCCCCGTAAAATAGTAGAAGGCTATATGGCAAACATATTGGGGCCAAACGTTGAAACCGCAACGTCTAATCGCAGCTTCATCTGCAGGGGAATGCCAACAGCATGGTGAGAAGTTGACGTTGGCACGTGGAGCTTTGGACTTGCGTTAGTC